CTTGTGAGTCACCATGTGGGTGCTGGGAACTGAACCTGGGTCTTCTGGAAAAGCAACAAGTGCTCCTAACTGCTGAACCAACTCTCCAGCCCCCTTTGTCAATTTCTCTCTGTATGTCTATGAAGTATTCATTTACAAAGTGCCAGATATTTTTTAAGCACATGCACACTTAAAATTCTCATATGTTCTGGTGAATTAAAAAGTTTATCACTAAAAGGTAACTGAGAGAGAGAGAGAGAGAGAGAGAGAGAGAGAGAGAGAGAGAGAGAGCTATTGTCTCTGGATGAACATTCTCTGGTGTATCTTTTGCCAACTTCTTTCTCTCGATGTTTCTACAGCCCTCAGCTTTAAGGGTCTCATGGGTTTAACCCATTTCTACTTGGGTCAATGATAAATACTGTGACATATAATATTCCACCCTTCTAATGAGGGAACATGGCAGTGTGGATGCCAAGGTCATCCATCTCCGGCTCTTAGGAAGCCAGATGTCTGACTCTTCTGCTTCTGTGAGCTGTTTCGCATCTTGAGAAAATGTTATTTTTTCTGATTAGGTGTATAGGGAGGAAGTCATATCTTTGGGAAATTAATGAAGTCACATAATCCATAAAGCTTTAATGGAAAACTCTGCCAGGCTTTGTGGTGTTGGAGAGAAAGCAAGGGCCCCATGCTCAGCTTTGGGTGGCCACTTTTCTAGCTATGTGACTTGGGGGTCACATCTTTAATCTCCCAAACTCCCCTTCCGCATTTGCAAACTGGGTGTGACCACCTGAGGTTTCTACCAGATGAGCAGGGGTACCTGGCATACAGCAGGGGCTCAATAAATGTCCACATCTGTTCTTCTTCTGCCCTCCAAATTCCATAGCTGCGACTCGACAATGTCAAGAATAGTCTTGTAAATATTATAAATAAGACAGTGCTGTGGCCATTGTTCGTGGAATCACATTGTGTTTCTAGGATTCATTGCAATCAAAAGAAAGATTGTGTTGCATTGTGCTGACAAAAAACCATTGCAAACAATGTGAGCTCCTCCTCAGCCCCAGCATGGGGTTCCTGCAAGAGGCAGGGCCTGAGCTTTCTGGAGCCTTCTGTTTACACATTTGTTTTAGGGCACTCAGAGTGTGACTTAGGTCATATGACTACCACCTCGGGAATTCACAGAGATTAGAACAGAGATCTGAAAGTGTGCCAGGAGGAATGAGGAGTTCCCAGTGTGAGTGAACAGGAAAGAAAGCTAAAACCTCCGCGGTCTGCATCAGTGTACAGCAAGGGTCTGAAGCTCTCTCTCTCTCATCTGTGCTTTTTTGGCCCAGCGGCACACTGGAAACCCAGTGTGTCATGGGTAATCTGTCCCGGATGTCAGCTTCATCTGCTGACTGTACCTCGGCTTTATCACCACCAGGCATTTCCATCCCGGATGTGGGCAGATGGTAGAGGACAGTGGCTCTGGCCACCTGTCCGGAGGCGTTGGAGCAGCACTCCGTGTCCAGAGCGCACTGGCTTAGCTTCATTCACACTCTCCAGCAGTTTGGCATCTAGTACGGAACTTCCCAAGGAAAGATAAGCTGGAGGAAACGGGAAATACACAAACAAGACAGAAAACCGGGCTGGCCGTGGGCAGGAAAGAGGCGAGGTGTGCAGACACCCCCACCCCCAAGGACAGCTGCTCCTCACTGTGGTGACACCTGTGCCTCAGCTTCCTCAACTGTGAGTGGAGGTTGTAGTTGGAATGTGATCCTGATCTGCCAGAATGTGAGCAAGCAGCCTGGTAGTTCTGCTACCACATGAGCTGGTAGCTCCATGAACTCTGCCACGCCTTCTCCACCACACTGGGCTGACTGCCGTGAGCCACAGCAAATCCTTCCTACCTGAAGTTGCTTCTTTTGAGTATTTTATCACAGCAGAGAAAAGCAACTGATATACCGGAGTAAATATGTCAGTCTCCATAAAGCGTTTACGGCAAGGGCCAGCTTCCCAGACCCTCCGCAAACTGTGCAAGCCTGAAGGCAAGCGCTGGCCCTGAGCCGCCCCATCTCCCCACCGCAGGAGAATGTCTATCCGAAACACTGCAGCTTCTTTTTCCTTTTTAAATCCATTTTTACTTTATTGCATTTTTGAGATTATTCACTCTAGGTAGCCCAGGTTAGCTTCAAATGCGCTATCCTCCTGCCTCAGCCTCCCATGTGTTCGGATGACGGGTGAGTGCTACCACACCTGGCCTGAAGGTTGCATCTTCTACAAAAGGACACAATCACAATTTGACCAAGCCTGGAGTGGACTGCCAGGCCTGATTCTGAGGGCCTGGGCTGTGGTGTCCTGGTAGCGGATTGTGTTAGTCTAAGCAAGCAGGCCACTGTTAGGAGTTTGACTTGATCTCTTGATCCCAGAAGTGTCTGAGCTTTTGTTTGCTCTGTTGGCAGGAAAAGTATTTGACATTCACAAGCACAGCCAAGATCAAAAGCAGCTGAAGCGACGTGTGTCTCTTCAGTGGTCAAGAGTTGAGCTAAAAATGTGAAAAACGACTCTTGTTCTGTATGAGGGGCTGGAATCTTCTTCCTCTTTCTCCACCCTAAGGATAATCAAAAGCCACGTGAGTTCTCAGAGCACCTGGCTCTGCATGCTGCCTGAATAGCCAGTGACTAGAGATGTAGACACAGATGCCGAGGGGGAGCATCACTGTGTAGAAGGTGTGGGGTGGAGGTCCTCATATCCATGTCTCCTTCCTTGTGTGTATTCGACAATTTCCATGATTAAAATATTTAGCAAGGCGAAAGCATCCTATAAGCCCAGATATTCATGAGCCTAGGCAGGAGGATTACTAGTTCAAAGCCAGCCTGGGCTACAGAATGAGTTCCAGGCTAGCCTGGGCTGCTTAGTGAGATCCTGTCTCAAAATAAAACATTAACTGTACGTTTGGGGGTGCAGCTCAGGGTTTGTCCAGCATGTAGGAGGGTCTTGGTTCAATCCACAATAAAATTTAATTTTTACAAAAAAAAATGTAAATCATTTCTTCAGATAATTAAAAGACCTTCTATAGGATAATGAATGATATAGATGGGACTGGAGAGATGACTCAGTGGTTGAGAGTGCTTACTGTTCTTTCAGAGGACCTAGGTTCGATTCCCAGCATCCACATGGTGACTCCCAACCAACCATAGCTCCAGTTCTAGGAGATCTGACACCCTCCTCTGCTTTCCGCAGACACCAGGTACCAGGCACACACGTATTGCAGACATGTATGCAGATGAAACACCCATACACACATTTTTTTAATTAAAAATAATGGTATAGAATTATACTATATTTATATCCTTAAAACATTTTCTAGATAATTCAAGGTCCACAGTGTCTGATGGTGTCTCTTACTCTCCGGCTCCCTTCCTTTCTGTCATCCTGAGAACAGGCACCGAGTAAAGGGTGACAGTGGCGGTGACAGCGAGCAAGCTTCAGCTCACTGCGTGGCGGCCCCACAAGCTCTCCTCTGGCATCCTCACTCACCTGGGGTGGGTACCTCATCACTCCATCATTTCACAGGGGAGCCTGAGGCACAGAGGCAGAGCCAGCGGTGGTGGCGCATGCCCTTAATCCCGGCACTCTGAAGGCAGAGGCAGGCGGATCTCTGGGAGTTCTAGACTAGCCAGGAATACACAGTGAGACCTTGCCTCAAAAATAAATAGAGAAATATGACTACCATACTCTAAAATTCCTAAGGCTTGAACATTTGGGATAAATCTTCATGTGGTATATTAGAGCTAGCAGTTTATCTTATGAGAACTATTTACCAAATCTGATATTGGCTTTTCAAATTAGGCATCCAACATTTAGCCAAAATGTATCCTCACTGATGCTGTAAAACAGATGAAATTTAAATTTCTCTTAAAACTACATGATACTGTGCAAGACAGAAGAAAAGCAGTTGTTCAAATATGGAATGGGATGAACTCAACTAGAAATCACAGGTTAGCAAGGTAAGAACATGGGGTCAGAGATGGCCACAAGCCGAGAATCAGTTGGCATTAAAGGAGTTGGGGTAGGGGCCAGCCTGTGAGACGGCTCAGAGTCTGTGGATAAAGCTCACATTTCACCCCAGAACCTGCATGAAGGTCCAAGGCAAGAACACACTCCATAAAGATATTCTCTGACACCCACGTGTAATTTCATTTCATAAATAAATAAAATGAAGACAAACATAAAACCTGAGCCAGAGGAGAAAAGCATCACCACTGCCGTTTGGGAGGCTCAGAGGTTCTGTATCAGGTGAGCACCGGGACATGCAGTGGGGGCGGCAGAGACACTGAGTTCGCAGCAGAGCTACTCATAACAGTGTTTTGGTTTCTTTCTTAGAGAACAGCTAAATGAAGCAGAATTGTCTCACAATGACATGGCTGGCTGTGAGGCTCTTGGTCACCTTTTCAAGACCATGAAGCATTTTCAATAGATGTAGAGGACTCTGTGGAGGTCTCTTTTCAATAAAACCATGCTTCTTAGGGAAGATTCAGAACCTCCGAACCCTCATGTGAACAAATATATGTCATGGGTTCAGATCATCTGCAGGGGTCACATCAGGCACTAAGGACCGTGCACAGGTGGACACTACCTCTGCTGTCCCTCTGGAAGATACTTCTGACCAAGACACTGACCACCGTGAGATTTGGGTTTTGGGTTAACAAAATATGGAGGACTTGAAAAATAGCACTGGCTACTAAACAATACACACACACACACACACACACACACGCACACGCACACGCACACACGCACACGCATGCACACACGCACACACACATGCATGCACACACGCACGCATGCAGACACACAAACACACACACATGAGTGCACACATGTGCACACACAGGGCAGAGACAGGAGTGACCACCATACTTTTAAAGTTCTAAGACTTGACTATTTAAGATAAATTTTCAGATGGCTTATTACAGCCCAGAAGTTTATTTCATGAGGCGTATTTTTCTTACATCAAATATCTGGGTGCAACAGCAAATGCCTGCTGTCCCAGATGCTTCAGAGGTTGAGGCAGGAGGATCACCCCCCCCCAACCTGAGAAACAAAACCAAAAATACATAGACGCATAACAGCCAACACACCAGTCAAACAAACAACTTGACTCTCAGCAAAGTGATGAGTGGGACGACAAGGTTGGGTGACTCCAGGGCATCTTCCTCACCAAGACCTCACCATGTTGGATCACATGGTGTTAGCAGCAGACAAGCCAGAACTAGGGTCAGTTGGCCATGCTCATGGAAAATGCCAGCTGTAAAAATCTGCTCTGGTATCCACATCATCGGGTTAAAATGGAAAGAAGTGTTAGAATCGGGCTTGGAGAGGCTGTGACCTGTGACTGGAATCCTCATCCAGAGTGTGTGGATCCTGTGGATGCAGAATCCGTGGCATGTTGTGCAGATGTTCTGAGACGAAGATGTGTCACAACGAAGACTCCACTAAACAGTGAGACACTGATGGGAACCACTCTTCGGGTGACTAACAGGCTGCCATAGTTCCTCTTTTCCATCATTGGGATGGAGTCCATGACAGAAGCATGTTGAGGAGGGGACTCACAGTTTAGAAGGGACAGTGTGGCATGGTGTGGGGAAGACATGACCACTGTAGTGTGTCAGTTCCTGGGAGCAGTGGTTTGTGGCAGCTGGTCACATCATGGTAGATCAGCAAGCATATACAAAGGACTGAACCAGAAGAAAGATGACCTTCAAGGCTTGCCCACAGCCATAGTCCCAAAGGCTCCACAACCTCCCAAAACAGTGCTCCCAGCTGAAGGCCAGACATTGAAACACATGAGCATGGCAAGGACCTTGTACTCCTCAGACTCGGCAGCCCTGGCTGTTGTAGACACTGAAAAGCTGAAACATCTTTGTTCATTGTCTCTTGCCCCTCTCTCTTCCCTTCCTTCCTTCCTTCCTTCCTTCCTTCCTTCCTTCCTTCCTTCCTTCCTTCCTTCCTTCCTTCCTTCTTTTCTTCCTTTGTGGTACTGGGAATTGGTTGAACCTGGGCCTCGACAGTATTAGGCAAATATTCTACTACTGAACTATAACCTGCTCCCAAACATGTAAGTCTATATAATAAACTTGGTCTAGTACAAAGAGAAAGCCAGGCTGAAATGGTGTGGTGGCATGTTGTTGGTTTGTCTTTGGTCTTTTGAGGGGGAGGGGCACCACTCACCTCCCAAATAAATCACACACAGAGGCTTATTATTATTTATAAATGCCTGGCCTTAGCTTGGCTTGTTTCTTGTAAATTTTTCTTAACTCAAATTATCCCATCTATCTTTTGCCTCTGGGCTTTTATCTTCCTCTATCCCTATATACCTTTTCTTTCCTTCTTACTGCGTGTCTGGCTTTGTAGCTGGGTGGCTGGCCCCTGATGTCCTCCTCCTTATCTGGTTATTTCTTTCTTCCTTTTCTCAGATTTCTCCTTCAATATATTCTCTCTGCCTACCAGCCTCACCTATCCTTTCTCTTGACTTGCTATATTGGCCATTCAGTTCTTTATTAGACCATCAGGTGTTTTAGACAGGCAAAGTATCATAGCTTCACAGGGTTAAATAAATGCAACATAAACAAAAGTAACACACCTTCAAATAATATTCTACAACAGCGGCACACATCTGTTTTCCCAGTAATTGGTAGATAGAGGTAGGAGGCTCAGAAGTTCAAAGTCATCCCCAGATAAATAGCAAGTTCAGTCAGTGCCTGGGCTGCATGCAGCCCAGTTTGGTGGGTGGGGAGCTACTGAGTAGATTCACAGCAGCCAATGGAGCTTCTGTTGTGTAAGAAAAATGCCATTCCTCTAAGAGCTGTTACCTGGGACCCCAACTTTTTGTTCTTAGGTCCTTGGATGGCAACCCATCTGTCTGTGAGGTTGATGGCTCCCCAAGAGGTGGAGCTAGGGTTGTCTTGTAAAGGAGTGTAAGGGTGCTTTGGACATGACACTCAAGGCTGGTAGTGTTCTGAAGATAGTAAAGAAAAACTCGGGTGAAAGCCAATCTTCCCCAAAGTCCTGCTACTTTCTGCAGAAAGGAGGTGCCACCAGGGCTCACCCTGATGACAGCATGAGCAGGCAGGTGCACAGAACCAGAGCATTCTCACCCCGCATCGATGGCAGTGGGCATGGTGGTGCACACCTTGTAATCCCATCATGCAGGAGGCTGAGGCAGCAAGATGGTGTGTTCAAAGCCAGCCTGGGCTACATAGCAAAACTAAGAAAAAATACTCCAGCCAGGGGGTTACTATCTAAAATATATTAAAATTTTCAAAAATTAAACTCCAAGAAAACAGAACTGTCAGTCCATAAATGGGCCAGTGAAATGAACAAACAGTTTTCCAATAATGAAACAGAAATGGCCAATAAATACTTTTTAAATGAGCCTTGGGGATATGCAAACCAAAACAATGTTGAGATTCCATCTCGCCCTAGCTGGAGTGGCTGCCATTGAGGAAACAAGTGAGGACAGATGCTGGCCAGGGCCTGGAGGGAGAGGAACACTGTTTACACGTGATTTGGAGTGTAAACTGGCACCATCACCATGGAAACCAGTACAGCGGTTTCTTGAAAAACTAAACACAGAACTTCCTAACTTTACCACTCCTGAGTGCTGTGGGAGAGCTGTACACTGTGTGAAGATACATTGCTGTGATTGGTTTAATAAAGAGCTGAACAACCAATAGCTAGGCAGGAGGGATAGGTGGGACTTCCAGGCAGAGACAGGAAGTAGTAGGAGGAAATCTAAGTGCAGTAGAGAGACACAAGGAGACACAGAGAAGAAACAGGAGGTGCAAGATGGAAGAGAGGTAATGCCACGTGATAAAACATAGATTAATACGAATGGGTTAATTTAAGTTATAAGAGCTAGTTAGGAACAAGCCTAAACTATAGTCAAGCTTTCATAATCAATAAGAAGTCTCCATGTCATTATTTGGGAGCTGGCTGGTGTGATAGAAAAGATTCATTATACTTGTGTACACTCAAAGCTCTCCAAATTCTACCCCAGAGATACCTGCTTGGATGAACATTTGTTTTTTATTCACAATACCAAGGAAATAGAGCCAGTTAGATGTCCATCAAGTGACCAATGGATAATAATAAAAAAAAAAATGGTACATACACACAATGGAACTTTATTCATCTGGTAACAAAAATGAAATTTGCAAGAAAATGGATGACACTGGAAAATATTCAGCAAGTTAATCCAGGCTGGGAAGAACAAACACCACACACAGTCTCTCAGATGTAGATCCAGATTCTAATTATGTATGTTTACTTATGAGGGAGGGAGTGTGGTATAGGTCAGAAATCTAAGAAAGGACCGTGAATGGGGAAAATGGTTGGGGGTAGAATCCATGAGAGGCATGAACGTGGAAGGGGAATGTCGGGAGTCGAAGGGTAGCAGGAGGGCAGGGTGGGAGATGCAGAAAAGACCTGGGGGAGAGGACCGGGAGATGCTCAGTGGGTAAAAAGCTTGCTGAGCAAGAGTGAGGACCGGAGTTCGGATCCCCAGAACGCATGTGAGCCAAACGTGGCAGCATTTGTAACGTCAGTGCTCCTGCTGTGAAATGGGGGTCGGAGATAGGAGAATCCAGGGTAGTCTGTGGGATGTGAACAAACAAGGGGAGAATGGGGGACTGACTCCTGAGGTTGCCCTCTGACCTCTGCATTCATGTGGTGTCACACACTCACACTTACACAAACATACACGCAGAGGCTTTTGTTTACTTATTTATTTTTATTTTATGTGTATGGGTGTTTTGCCTGAATGTGCTATCTGTGTACCATGTATGTCTTATACCACATGGATGTAGCACCCTCAGAGGTCAGAAGAGGCTGTGAGATCCCCTGGAACTGGAGTTCCAGTTACAGGTGATTGTGAGCTGCTATGCCTGGGAACTGAACCCGGGTCCTCTGGAAGAGCAGGAAGTGCTCTTAACTGCTGAGCCGTCTCTCCAACCCCATTTTTTTTTTTAAGCGTGTATGAAAATGTCTTAAGGAAACTGATTACTTTGAATGTTGATTTTAAAAAATAATTAAAAGCAGAAGTCTGTTCAGATATCTCCTATGTGAACAAGAAGAAGCCAAAGGTTGAGGAGGAACAGAGGCTGCATGAGAAGGAAGGTCCCCCGGGCCTCTGCACATGGGTGTGGGGGGTGTTTATATGAGCACGGTTGGTCAAGACTGATTTGGGAAAGTTCTCACCAATGCTTACCAGAAAACATTGGCCTGACCTGGAGCATCAAGGCCAGTGTTCAGTTAGCTGGAGTGAGACAAGAGGAAAGGCCATGGAGTCAACAGCACATGGTCTCTGAAGAGCCCCAGCTAAATACCACGTATACAAGAAGTCCATGTCTTATCTTAAGAGCTGATATTTGTTGGATCTGGAACATTCCCCAAAAGTCTGTGTGTTGAAGGCTCATTCCTGGCTCATGGTGCTACTGGGAGTGGTAGAACCTGTAGGAGATGGGCTCAGTGGCAGAGGTTAGCTCACTGGGGTGCGCCTGTGAAAGCCACGACTGTGAAAGCCACGAGGAGGCCATGCGCCTGGCCTTCCTCTTTCTTTCATTCTGGCCACAGGCAGAAAACCAGCTCTGCTCCATCAAGCATCCTGCCATGACGGCTGCCTCACTAAGGATCACAGAGCAACAGGGACAGCTAACGGGAACTGACCCACACCGGGCCAAGATACACCCATGCCCTGTACGTCAATTAACTCCAGAATTTAGTATGGTGATGGAAAGCTGACTAACGTGGTAATCCATAGACATGGGTTTTGGGGTGTGCCCTTGGAGGCCAGGGGAAGGCGCTGGATCCCTTAAAGCTGGAGTTACGAGTGACTGTGAATCACCTGACATGAGGGCAGGGAACAGAATGCAGGTCCTCTGGAAGAGCAGCAAGCATTCTTAACCCGTGAGCCATCTCTCCACCTCCGTGAACGTGCTTCTAAGCAGTGCTAGGGGATAGATTTCACAATCCATTCTCTTAGCAGGCGACGCCATCAGGTTATTTTATGTTTCCTTGTGTGTGACAAAAACTTCAGCCTCAGGTGGTGGATATGACTCAGAGTAAGGAAGGCCCTGGATCGCTCCCTAGCACCATCAAGAAAAAGGGGGAAAAGGAGAGGGAGGGAAACAGCCTCTTCAGATAACATACTAAGGGTCCTGGTGATGGATTTGATCTGCATTGTTAGCAGAAATGGGTCCTTGCTACTCAGTTTATGACTTTCAGATCACCCATCCCCAGAGCTTCAACCAGGCTTTGCTCATGGATGCACCTTCAAACGTGTCTGATGCAAGGTCTCGCCTCTTAAAAAAAGTAATGGGTGGAAAGATGGTTCTGCAGTTAAGAGCACTTGCTGCTCTTGCAAAGGACCTGAGTTTGGTTCCCAGCACCCACCTGAAGGCTCAAAAAACAAAGCCAATCAGTGGGCTGGGGCTGAAGCTCGGTCCAGAGCCCTTGGTCTGACATGCTGGGATTGCATCTCCAGCACAACACACAAACAAAACCCCGAAAAATAAAAAGTGTACACACTTGCAAAGTGAAGCACATCAAGATCATTGCTTTATCATTTATAATCCATCAAAACAGTCTCTTCCACTGCCAGCAGGATGATGTTGCTTTCTGTAAAAGATGAGTTTGATCTCTGGAACTGAAGCAAGGGTGGAGGACTCCCCGTTGTCCTCCGACCTCCGCACACACACCGGAAGAGTGCCTGCAGACGAACTGTTCTCTCCCCAACACAAATTCCCAAGGTTGCCTGGCAGTTGTCTGGAAAACCCGAGCCAACCACAAGGGAGTTATCTGCAATGATTCCATGGGAAGTGGCCTGGGAGGCCTGGGTATGTTTTACTGTGTCTGCTGCAGTGTGGGGTGGGGCCATCCTGTGAAAGTTCTGAGACTTGAAGATCTTAAAAGCATTCCCCAAGCAAGTAAGGAATTCCCCTCTTATATCCAAGCGAAATCTTCGCATTCTGCAAAAGAGGGCAGGAAGCCCACCAAAGGAAATTTCCTATAATCCTGAACTTTGAGACAACTATTATAATAATATTTTGACAAAACA